ATATATATATATATATATATATATATATATATATATATATATATATGCTGCTTATTATAGACACGATTATAAATAACATGGTTCATCTGTCTCACCTGTCCGTCTTCAGGCCGTCTTACCCTCCAGCTGCTCTCGGGTGTTTTCGGCGGCCCGCGCCAAACCGTCAGCCATCAGTGCATCCTCCAGACTCCTCCTGGCCTGGTAAACTTTCAACTCCTGCTCCCTGCACACACACACACACACACACAGAGATGGGAGAGGATGTCTTATTATGGCTCCTCTTTATGCACCTGAAACATAAAATCTTCCTGAACGACAAACATCAAAGAAATCCTCGAACAGCCAGTGGACTGTGACCCTTAAACTCCAGAGGCAAACACATAAACCCCAACAATGACGCCTTTCTATATAGTCTTAATCACTTTGCATGTAGTTGTTTAAGTTATTTAGTCTGTCAAATGTTAGGTTTATTCAGAGGGGGGTGCTAGTGGAAAGATTATGTTGTCATTTAAATCTAAAATGTTCATCCTCTGGGGAGCAGGAATGGGATCAGGCAATTTCATGACTATCCAGGCAGTAGTCTTTGAGATACATATGAACAGGACTGTCAATATACTGTACTTTCATGTACTTTGGGCCCCTTTGGTTCCAGTGAAGGGAAATGTTATCCTACATCATACAATGATATATGAGACAAAAGTGTGCCCCCAACTTTGTGTTTGACCCTCTCCTGTTTCAATGTAATTATGCCCAAAACCAGGTCCATAAAGAAATGTTTTTTCCCAGTTTGTGCAGACTGAATCTGGATTAATAAACAGCCAAAGGTACAATGAGACACTACCATGCAATACAATGCTATCTGCTTCTGTCTAAGAAGGAACCGTTTTAAAGATGAACCAAGAAAAAATGATGCAGTTCAATATTTTTATGAAAAACAAAATTTGAAAAATTGAAGGAATGCAAAGAGATAAAACAAAAAATAAAAAATAGTTTGATGTAGAAGAGGAAATAAGCGTAAGAGAGGGAGGAGGGAGAGGAGAGGAGAGGAATGAGAGCGATTTAGGATGACAAGCACATTCAACTGAGGAGAGAGAGGAGGGAAGAGGGAGAGAATTGGAAATTAATGGAGGGGAGAGATAAGAAAATAAGGAGAAGAGGGAGGGAGGCTGAAGGGAGGGATGGAGGGGAAATAAGAGGAGAGGAGCGACCGGGAGGAAGGGGAGGAGGGGATGACATGGAAAAAGAGAGAAAGATGGAGGAATGGAAAAACAAAGGGAGGCGAAAGACAAGAATGTATTGTTGGAGGGAAAAGGATGATGAGAATGGAGGGAAGATGGGAAATATTCAAGAAAGTAGGAAAGTAATGAAATTTAATTTATGAAAGAAAAACAAGGAGGAAAGAAAATAACAGGAGGAAAGGTGAAAACAAATGACTGAAGAGAGGATGGACATCACAAAGGAGAGGAGATTAAATTATTCATATTAAGGTAAAGGATGATAAAGAAATAAGATAAGGAAGGAGGGAGTGAAGGAAGGAAATAATGGGAGAGAAGAAAAAAGGAAGGGCAGAATAAATAAGGAGATGAGAAAATGTGAAATGATGCTGAGAAGGATGGAGGGAAGCAGTGAAATAAGGAAAATGTCAGGAAGGAGAGAAGGAAAGGGAAAGGTGGAAGGAGGGAGAAAGAGAGCCAGAGTAAAGAAGGAGATAAGGAAATATAATGAGGGACCAAAGAGGACAGGGAGTATGTAGTGATGTATTCCAGTGATTCTGCTGTAATGGCTTTGGCCAGCTGTTCTCTGCTGTTTTCAACTGGACACACACACACACACACACACACACACACACACACAGTCGGTGTGTGCCCCCACAGTGCCCCCTCCTGTCAGCTTGCATTAATTGTCTATGTGGTTTACAGGGTCTCTGATCTGAAGACTTATCGTATCCCCTTTCTTTTTAAAATGTATAAGCATTGATTTATTTTCTTGCAATATATAATTGTCACAACAGGGTGATGAAATATATATATATAGTATTTGTCCTTCTGCAAGTCCCATGGCTGCGAATAAAAATGAAATTGAATAAAGGAAGAACGAGACTTGACAGTCCGATTCCCCCGAGCTGTCCAAAGAAACAAACTTCATTTTTCTTCCATCAATCATTCATCCATTTTTGGATTGACTTCCTCCCTTCATGCACCCATTGGTCTCAGTTCATTTCTGTGAAAACTTGCAGTATAGCGAGTTACAGACAATCTGAAAGTCAATCTGAAACCTCAGATATTTAAGTGTCTTTGAATGCAAACATGACAAAAAACGGTCAGTTGCTTATTTACACATCCAGCAGTTACAGAAAAACGTCACCATCACTTTTTCAGTCACTCTCTTGAAGCTCTGTGTTTGGTCCCCACCAGCTCCTGAGTCTCTTTAGCAGCTCAATGCGCCACAGTGCTCAAGTGATCAACTTTGAGCGACGGCTTTCACATGCATTCAACGCCTACGTCATTTGATGCATCGTATACTTTGCTCACTCTTTTTGTACATACCGTAGTAGAATTGTTGGAGGAAGCCTTAGAACAAGAATGTCATTGCTTACAACTGCTCCACCATTGTTGTGCATGTGGAAACTAAAGACTTGAAACATTTTTACTATAAAAACAATGATCATACAATCTTTAACTCGGTAGTTGTAAATCTAAGAAGCAAAAAAGTACTGCTACAATCTGTTGTTAATTTCCCCTTCTTCCCATCAGGCCACCGATGGGAATCAATCTCAAAGCTGATTTGATGGTGGAGGTAAATGTGACCTGTAGCTAATGTGCTAATTTGCTTGTCCTTTAACAGTTTAGGCAGGTGAAATGGATGCACCTACAGATGATCAGTTTCAGATGACAACTGATTTCGGTCCACCTGGATGTGATTCTGAATCACAGCTTTGGCGTTAATTCCCCAGCATGACTGTAGTGGTGGCTGCTTTTCTTCTTCCTCCTCCTCCTCATTCATGCTGCATTACTTCTCATCTCTCATCGCCCATCCACTCTCTCATCACCGTCCCATCGTCCTTTCTCACTATACAACTTATTACTCCCACAACCCAGCATGCATCAGTAATCTGCACTCATTTAATCGCTCTCCGGCTGTAGAGGAAGACGCTGGCTTCCCCCTCTTCAAGGTTTTATGAGACGGTTGGAAATAATAAATGGCGTTTATACACGGCTGACATGTGTTTTGTGATACTAAAACAGTTTTTTGACACACAACATTGCACTGCACACACATCTCATCACTTTTGAAAGAACACGCCCAAATTCAACAATGATAATGGAAACAAAAATATTTGTTTAGGTGGATACCCTAAAAGTCCATAAGAAAAATAATGACACTCAGAAATGATGTTCGGGGTCATTACAGTAACGTTCCAGATATTTCAGTAAAAAAAGCAAAAACAAAAAATGCATAAACTGCTCACAAATACTGCATAACTATCCATATGTCTGTGTGTAAATGAATGGGATAACTGCCTCGCCGTACGCAGTTCAGCTTGTAATGTTAGCAGCTAAAATCAATCTCATCTCTACCGAAGTCTGTGATTGAGAAGTTAAGGTGTCGATGTTGAGTCGTTTCTGGTATTGGAGGCGTTGCTCAGCCTTGGTGGACTGGCCCCTGGTAGTCTTTGTTATATTTTTACAGATAGCTTACTGAACACACGGATAGCCGATGTTGCTACGAAGACAAAACGTATGAAGCGAAAACAACCACAAAATAAAGAACAAGCAAAGTTAACAACAAAAGCTTTTATGGCTTTCCCTCCAACATTTTGTGGGACTCAAAGCCTCAGAGTGATTTGTTTACTGGACTGTTGAAAACAGCCATTCAGCTGGTACCTGCCCTTCAAAAGAGACAGGCTGACTGTTCGGTTCTGTATGCACTGCTGGTACAAGATACGCAACTGCAAAACATTGGGGATTTTAACATAGTTTAAGCTGATAAGAGTCACGGTGCTCTGAATAGTGTGGAAGAAAAGGTTGGTCTCGATATCTGCTGTGACGTTACTTTGCTGAGGCCTCAAGTGGCAATAACAGGATATTCCTAAATGCTAAAGCATCACGCAACAGTAGCATTGACTCAGTGATGACTCTAGTGTGAGTTACACAGCAAGACCGGATTGGTCTGGGATGACCAGTAGCTTACTGGACATCCCAGACCAATCCGGCTTGGGCAGCGAAACCTGAGTGTATTAAATTTAATTTAAAAATATTATTCAGGTCCGGTCCGCCACTGAGAGGATGACAGCTTAATTTTCGAGCTCCCCGATGGTTTTGTGAAATAACCCCAAAAAACGGTAGTTTTTCCAATACCAGTGCAAATTTTGTTTAATAATGGAGAAAGGGGTTATTACTAGAAGTAGGACGACCAAAGACGTGATAGAATATGATCCCGAAATGGGATCTCTCCCATTTCGGCAGCTCTCCGGGCCCATATGCTCATGACGAGGATAGCTCAGAAGCTAGCCTGCGAAGCATTCTCAATGAACTTCGGGACTTCAGAAAAGATAACAGGGTACAACTCACTGACATTAAAACCGAATTGAAGAGAGCAAATGACAGACTGGACGAGGCAGAGGGGAGAATAGATGAAAATGAGACAGTGCTTCAAGCAACATCAACGCTAATTAAACGGCTAATGCAGCGCCAAGCTAATCTGGAAGCCAGGCTGATAGACGAGGACGGCCGAGCGCGCAGGGATAATTTAAGGATTTACGGAATACCCGAAGATAAAGAGGGCACCGACATGGCTGGTTTTCTGGATAACCTGCTAAAAAACGCACTCGACCTCCCCCGTGGCAGAGACCTCAGAATAGAGCACTGGCACCAAAGCCCAACGGGCCGCAAGCAAAGCCCTGATCGATAGTGGTCAAGTTCGGGAGTTACCGGACGAAGGAAGAGGCGCTCCGGAGAGCATGGCAGAAAAAAAGAAGTATCTTACAACAATGCTCGCTTCTATGTTGACCATGACTTCCCC